TGAATGAGTTTCTGTATGAAAAAAAAAAAAAAATCACAATGATAAGAAAAGAAGATCACGAAGAATAAGGTGGAGATCAATGCTGTTGACGCTGTCAAAGAGTCCACCAAAGACAGTAGCAGCCATAAAAAGCATAAAATCTTCTGGGTGGAAATGGTTCCTTGAGTAAACTTCTTATTTGCCTTCATCTGGATTTTAATTTACAGCTGAATTATTATTATTACAGTTGAGCTTGTTGATGATCATCAAGTCAGTATTTAGGAGAGTAGATAACGCTACTCATCCAGTTAAGTATAATTCCCTTTCCTATTACTAGAAACATCTCACTGGTTGAATTAATTAATGGTTTAATCGTGTCCTTTCAGCTTGTTGTCTCACATCCCTAGAAATTTTGAGTCTTCTTTGAACAACCAAACTGAAGTGGTCCTTGCCATCCTAAAGCACTCTCTATCACATCTCATTTAACTTTTTTTAATCACTTCTCAATCTCTGAATGGATCTTGATTATGTTTAGTTGTTTATTACATGTATCTTTCCACTAAAAGTGTTAGTTCTGCAGCCAAACTTAAAAAAAAAAAAAAAAAAAAAAAATTCTCATTGCCATTGAGCCAAATTTGACTCATGGAGATCCCCATTGGATTTCTGAGAATGGAAATCTTTAAGGAAATAGATGGCCCCACCTTCCTTCCATGAAGCAGGTGGTGGGTTTGAACTGCTGACCTTTTGGTTAGCAGCCAAATAACTTTTCCACTCCACAGCCAAACTATAGAGATTCAAATCCCATCTCAGGTATTTATTAGCTCTGTGAGCTTGAGTAAACTATTGAAAATATGCAAGCTTCAATTGCTTCTTCTGGAAAAGAGGAAAAACTTTATCTACCAGCTAAGGCTCTCATAAGGATTAAATAAGTCAATGCCTTCATAGTGCTAGCCTCATTATAGTAAATACATAATAGCTTTTAGAGCTCTGGTAGCATAGTGTCTAAGGCACTTGACTGCTAACCAGAAGGCTGGCGGTTCAAACCCACCAGTCACTTGGAAGGAAGGTTGGGCAATCTACATCTGTAGTGATACCACCTCAGAAACCCAAGGAGGGGTCACTATGAGTCAGGTCCGACTCAATGGCACATAACAACCACAATACTTTTATTAATTATTATGTTACAGCTTTCTTATTTGTTGTTAAAAATATTAAAATTTGGAGACTTTCTGAAGTTTATTTTTATTTCTGATATATTCAAAATTTTAAGGTGGATTTTTCAGAGTGTCAATCTTCTCCATCTTCAATGAATTCTACTGAGTTTACCCCCAGATTTCTGAAATTTCATCCCTGTCCCCAAGGGTAAGTCTACATATAATTAAACAGCAAGTATAACTCATACATTTCTTAAAAAGTCAGATATATTATGTGTTAGGTAAATCTTAAAAATTATTTTTCAAAAGGAAAACTACTGATGCAATTCCTCATCTGTAAAAAAATCTTCCTTTCAAATCCGTTCATATTCTATTAACCTGTGTGTTCACCTCACAGTTATAGTAAAGTGATTTCTTGACTTTTCATGCACAGCTTTTCATGAGAAAATCAGAACCACAAATGGATCAGCTCCAAAATCATACACACATGAGGCCAATGGAGACCAAAAAAAAAAATTGAGACAGAGATTCAAGAATATCTGAGGAGGCTGGATTCAATTGCAACCCCCAAGAGCTGCTACTAGGCCAGTCAGCTTTCATAGCATTCTTCTTCACAGTACTACTCGAGTTGGAGAAGATTTGGGCTTGTAACTCTTCTAAAATTAATAGGAGCCTCATTTTGTTTGGGTTAATATCTCCGTGGGTCTGGCCCTGGTCCCTGTTCCCTTAGTTGAAGAAGCTGCTTTCTTGTATGACATCATCTCATTTTATATATATATGTATATGTGTGTGTGTGTGTGTGTGTAAAAAAAAAAAAAAAAAAAAACTCACTGCCATCAAGTCGATTCCAACTCATAGCAAACCCCTTAGGCTTTCCAAGGTGGTAAATCTTTACAGAAGTAATTTGTCCAGTCTTCCTTCCACGGAGTGGCTGGTAGGTTTGAACCACCAACCTTCTGGTTAGCAGTCAAATGCCTTAGGGATTATGCTACCAAAGCTCCTAACATATATGTATTTCTACTTGAACTTCATGCAGTTTTGTATATTGATTTACTATGTGCTAGGTAAGGAGCTCTGGTGGCATAGTGGCTAACATATTTGGCTTCTAAGCTGAAGGTTGGCAGTTCAAACACACAAGATGCTCCCCTGAGGAAGATGAGGCAATCAATTTCTATAAAGATTCACTGCCGTGGAAACCCAATGGGTTTCTTATATGCATATTTTGCAGGAATGGGTGATAATGTCCAGTATGCCATATGATTAACAGCATGTTTTATTTACCTAGTGCCACTCTGACAAGAATATACCACAAATGGGATGGCTTGAAGAAACATGAGTTTATTCTTTTATACTATGGAGGCTTCAAGTCTGAGTTCAAAATGCCAGGCTCTAGGGGCTGGGTGAAAGCCCTTCAACCTTGGGCTTCAGCTCCACCTCCTGCTCGTGGCCCACTGGAGCTGGAGGCTTTTCTTCATTCAGACAGCTGCTGGCTGCTGAGGCTGACAAGCCCAAGGTTGGCAAGTAAAAAGGCACAGTCCTGATGTTACCAAACCACATAGCAGGCTATTAATTGAAATTCATTGAAAGTCCCAAGGTCCACAGATCATGGCAGGTTACTGAACAATGACATGGCCACATGCAGGGTTCAAGCATGCCATAAGCTAGAGACTGTTCCCCAAGGCTTCTCCTTATATACAGGAAGCAGACCACATCCCTAAAGCTGCTCACAGTAGATTCCACCATGGAGTTGATTACCAGTCTCATCATGGGGAATACTACATCCAGCTGCCTAGCCATTCAACCAGGCCCAGCCAAGTTGACCCAAAAACTTAACTACCACACAACATAATACCCGAGTAAGAAAGCCTTGAGTTTAAATGCTTGACACTTACAGTATGCACTTCAGCAAAACGTGACATCTTTAGGTTTCAGTTACAGGGAAATGAGAAGTCATTCACCATGAGTCAGAATCATCATCATGGCAGCGGTTTGGTTACTTTTGGTTTTATGTGCTAGGCACTGTTAGAGGCACTTAATATATATGAGGCACTTAATATATATGAACACATTTAATTGGCTGAATCACTTTGTGAGGTACTATCGTTATTTTATAGGTGAAGAAAATATAGCATGGAAAGATCAAATAACTTGTTTAGTTCATGTTTGAATCAAGAAAACATGACTTCAGAGTCTGCTCTTAACCACTGCAACACAATTCCTCATCTGAAAAAATTGTCTCCCTTCAAAATCTGTTCTTATTCTAGTGACCTGTTTGTTTATCTCACATTCATAGTAAAGTGATTTCTCGACCTTTCAAACACAGCTTTTCATGACAAAATTAGACCCACAAATGGATCAGTTCCAAAACCATAAACACATGAGGCCAATGGAGAGCAAATAAACAACAACAAAAAAAAAAAACATGAGACAGAGATTCAAGAATATTCAGCGAGGGTGGATTCAATTGCAATCCCCAAGAGCTGCTGCTAGGCCATTGGCTTTCTGAGTACTCTTATTTGCAGGAATGACACATAGAAAAAATGGATCATACCTTCTAAAGCTCAAAGAAAGTTAGAATAATGCGTATGGCTGGTTGAGTAGTTCTCTTATAATTTGAGATGATCCAGTAATAAACACGATTTAAACTACGTCATATTTATGAAGCACTAAGTGCCCTCTTATACTTTACCTGAAATCAGGGTTTTTTTTTGTGTGTGTGTGTGTGTGTGTGTGTTTAATATACTTTGCATGGTTTACTTTAATTTATCCTGATAATACTTCTCATTTCCCCATACTGAACCCCGAAAAGGTGATGTTTTACTAAAGTTCACACTGTAAATGTCAAGCATATAAACTCAAGGCTGTCTTACTCAGATTTTCTGCTCTTAACCATTATGGCATACAAGATCTGTCACTTATTCTTCCAAAATATGCTTGTAGAAATGATACATAAAATCTCCTAAACACTGAGAAACTGTGAAAAGAAAGCTCTCATTGTGAAAAATTAGTTAACAATAAGTTTTCATCCAAATAAAGCAGCAAAAAATAATGGTAAACATTCTCCTTTGGAGGCAGTGAAGAAAAAGGAGATAATTAGATTTCATATGGCAGAACTTTAGAAAGTACCAAAAGAGAAAATGGAGAATAAATAGCAAAGCATTCCTCTTTGCCTGGAATACATATTTTTTTAAAAAACATTCTTTATTGCCAAAGTAGTGGGCTTTCTGGGCATTATTTATGAAGATTTTGAGCGTCATGGTTCTCATAGCTTCTGCTGTAAGGAGTACTTCCCAGGAAGTTCCTTAAAAAGTGCCCCATTAATGGTTGAGAAGGCTAACTTAATATATTATTCAACTTTTGTTCAAAGTGCATGCACAGAACACCTGCTTCAAAAACATCTAGGCAATTTGTTTAAATGTGGATAAGTAAATACAATACCAACCTACTTAATTACAATGTCTAGTGCTGTGTCCTGGGAATCTGGCTTTTAAGTAGATCTAACTAACTCTACTGGTTGAGAGCTCTGGTGGCATAGTGCATAAGACATATGCCTACTAAACAGAAGGCTGGTAGTTCAAACCCACCAGCCACTCCTTGATGGTCGTGAGTTTGGGTTTTTGTTTTGTTTTATTTTGTTTGTAACTGACTGTCAGTATTTTAAAGATCAACAACCAAATAGGCAATAAATAAATTTAAATGGAATACTCCTTTAATGATAATTTCCTGCCTGCAATTTTACTCAAAGTATGCATATGCCAATATCAAACTACTTTGACAAAGAGTGTCCACTTCACATTGAATAACAGAAATTATGTTCTCTTTTGACCGTTAAAAGAATAAATTCATTTTTATCAATGTGATTATTTCTCAGTTGAAGTCACTTTTTGATACCCAGAGCTTCTTCATAGCACCTTTCACCTCTGCGTTTCTGAGGGTGTAGATTAAGGGGTTTAACATGGGAGTGATCATGGTATAAAAGACAGCCACAGCTTTATCAATGGGGAAGGTAGTCACTGAGCGCAGATACACGAATATGCAAGGTACAAAGAATAAGACAACGACGGTGATGTGAGAGACACAGGTGGAGAGAGCTTTGCACCTCCCCTGTGAGCTATAAGTCCTTAGGGAGCACAGGATGACCACATAGGAGACCACCAAAATAAGAAAGTTTAGCAAGCATATGAATCCACTGTTGGCAACAACAAAGAGACCAAAGGTATGAGTGTCCATGCAGACAAGTTTCAACAAAGGGTTCAAGTCACACATGAAGTGGTCTATGATATTCGGGCCACAGAAGGGCAGCCAGACTATGAAGAGGATCTGTATGGTTGAGTGGACAAAACCTCCAGCCCAGGCTACTCCCACCAGCAGACTGCACAGCCTGTGGCTCATGATGGTCGTGTAGTGCAGGGGTTTGCAGATGGCCACATAGCGGTCATAGGCCATCACCGTCAGCAGGATGATCTCAGCAGCACCGAAAAGATGCTCAGCAAAGACTTGAGTCATACACCCCCTGAAAGAGATGGTTTTTCTCACAGCGAGAGTGTCAGCTAGCATTTTGGGGGTCATGGATGAAGAACAGCAGCCATCTATAAGGGATAAGTGAGACAGGAAGAAGTACATGGGGGATTCTAAGGCCCTGTTGGTGCTGATGGTGACCATGATGAGCAGGTTGCCTGCCAGGGTGACCAAGTAGACAATCAAAAACACAGCAAATGAAAATGTTTGAAGCTCCGTGTTTTGAGTCAGGCCCAGGAGGATGAATTCTGTGACATTACTCATCCACTTCATGACTTCAGCTCAGGTGGCAGGTGATGTCCTTAGAAATAAGTCACACTTTCACTTAATGAAAAAAGATATCCATGAGGTGCCTTATTTTTATCAGTTTTACAAAAGGAAGTCCAAGTGTGGAACCATATCAACATTTTTCTTTTTATATGCTACAGGGGACACTATGTTGTTGTTGTTGCTGTTGTTATGTACCATCAAGTCGGACCCAACTCACAGTGACTCCTCCTTGTGTTTCCAAGGCGGTGTCACTACTGAAGTAGATTGCCCAACCTTACTTCCAAGGAGTGGCTGGTGGATTTGAACTGCCAGCCTTCTGGTTAGCAGTCACGTGCCTTAGGCACTGTGCTACCAGAGCTATAAGTGGTATTTATTTTCCTCTGTATAATTTCCTGATTTGTTTATAATTGTCTACAGTAAAAATGGGTAACTTTGAATTTTAAAACTAGTATACTATGCCTCAAGTTTCAAAACCCATTCCATGATATGGCCATGTAGCACAGTCACAGATACCCAAAGATATGTGTTTATTCTTCAAAGTTGCCGGGTATATTTTTCAGAGAAAAGACATACATCAACTAAATTACATTTTTAAACTAACTTAAATACTAAAACACTACAAGATATATATATAGATATATATTTTTTAATTCTTTACTCCATGTAAACCAAAATACCAAACTCACTGCCATGGAGTCGGATCCTACTCATAGCGACCCCTCTTTGGATTTCTGAGGCAGTATCACTACGAAAGTAGACTGCCTGATCTTCCTTCCAAGGAGTGGCTTGTGGGTTTGAACCTCCAGCCTTCTGGTTAGCAGTCACATGTCTTAGGCTCTATGCCACTAGAGCTCCCTTTACAACACGAGGCATCTTTTTTCATATTTGTCAGCTTTTTCATTTTATCAAAAGTGAAAGACTGTACTGTTACATTCTCCCAGTCTCAGAAATAAGGGTAAATAGCATTACCCTATGGGAGCTCAAGTGACGTAGTGGCTAAGGCACTTGACTGCTAACCAGAAGGTTGGCAGTTCAAACCCAACAGCCACTCCTCTGAAGGAAGATTGGGCAATCTACTTCATAGTGATACTGCCTTGGTAACCCAAGGAAGAGTCGCTATGAGTCAGAGACGACTCAATGGCACATAACAACAACAACAACAACAGCATTAGACACATTGTATCATCCTCCTCTGTCTGTGTCCCACACTATGGACACACTCATAGTTTTATTAATTTTTTTACATTTTTATTTACTTTTCATATCTCTAATATTTTATTAAAGAAAATATTTTTTAAAGCTAAATATTTGGAATTTTAAAAGGTGACCATACATATAATGGAACATTAACTGAAACCCACTGCCATTGAGTTGATTCTGACTCATAGTGACCCTATATAGGACAGAGTAGAACTTCCACATAAAGTTTCCAAGACTTTACAGAAACATAGTGCCTCATCTCTCCTGCAGAGCAGCTTGAACCTGCCAACCTTTCGGTTAGCAGCTGAATGCCTTCACCACCGTGCCATCAGAGCTCCTTCATTACCTTGTCATAAAGAGAAAAGAAAGTCCTGACACATGCCACAACATAGATGAACCTTGAACACATTATGTTGAGTGAAATCCATCAGTCAAGAAAGGAAAACTATTGCATGATGCCACTTACATGAAGTATCTGGAATAGGCAAGTATATAGAGGTCACAGGTAGTGGTTACCAGAAGGAAGCAGGAAACAAAGACACAATGCTGAGGGACACTGAGCTCTTGACAAGGATGATGGAAAAGTCTGAATTTGGTTAATGATAATATTGAACAACACAATGAGTGTTACTGCATTGTGTATTTGAAGGCTGTTTAAATGACAAATGTTCTTTTACCTATATATTAACCATCATTTAAAAAAAAATTAAAAGCTTCCCTTCCTATTGATTAATCTGTCCAACCACAGCAAATAATAGAATAAATGTAGACTTGGGAATGATTTCAAAATCAATCCCTGGAGATACAGGAAAAAATCAATCTAAATTAATATTACACGATATTTCACTAATGGCGAATTTACATTAAACCAAATCAAAGGCACTGCCATCAAGTCGGCTCTGACTTATAGCGACCATTCCTTGGGTTTCCGAGGTGATGTCACTATTAACGCTACTCTTTCCTTTCTGTAAGCTTTTATATGTAAATTAATATGTTGTTGTTGTTGTTGTTGTTTGCCGTCGAGTTGCCCCTGACTCATAGTGACCCCTCCTTGGGTTTCCGAAGCAGTATCACTATGGAAGTAGGATTGCCCAACCTTCCTTCCGAGGAGTGGCTGGTGGGTTTGAACCGCCAGCCTTCTGGTGAGCAGTCAAGTGCCTTAGGCACTATGCTACCAGAGCTCCCGTAAATTAATATAATTATATATATTTGTTTTTATTCACTTCTGCATCACCAGTGCTGGTCATAAAGTAAGCACTCACAAAGCATCTGCTGAGGGAGAGTGAAGGAAAAAAAGAGCCAAACGAGAAAGGAAATAGGAGAGAAAAAGGGAAAACAGTTTGGTAGAAGCACAAGGGAAATGGGCTTAAAATGCGAAGACATTTTACACATAAACCCCTTAGGAAGAGCACAACATCGGTTCATTTTGTGCATCAATATCTTTACCTGCAAAAGGAGGCCCACATGTATCTATATTTAGGATTATTGTGAGGAGAAAGTTGTTGGGAAATTACCATAATTGTTGTTATATGGTTTTACTGTTCTCAAGGGAGTGACACTAAAGAAAAATTCGTAATTGCCTCTGAATATCTCCCAAAGGCAGTAATTCTGAAAACTTAAACTAAAAAGTGAGTAGAATAAGGGAAAAAAGGATAAATGTCAAAAAGGAAGGTTGGCAAAATTTATACATATATACATATGCATATATGTATATGCATATATCAAATAAATAAATAAATAACTCCTTGCCATTGAGTCAGTTCCGACTCATGGCAAACCCTCCTTGGGTTTCTGAAGTGGCATCTCTATGAACGTATATCACCCAGTCTTCCTTCTGAGAAGTGGCTGGTGAGTTTGAACTGCCAGCCAGCTGCTTAGCAGTCAAATGCCTTAGACACTATGCTAGCAGAGCTCCTATATAACATTGTTGTTGTTGTTATGTGCCGTCGAGTCAAACCCGACTCATAGCGACCCCTCCTTGGGTTTCCGAGGCAGTATC